AAAACCTGTTGCCCTCTAGGCCCAAACCAAGGCGTGCGAGCCAACAGTTGCCACAGTCGCTGTTATGGTTGATCAAGTTGCTATCATGTTGTTATTGCAAAAATGCCGGTATATAAGGGTTTCCAAGTACCTTATCACAGGGGCCTCAGTATGAGGATCCTTGTAATGAGCATTTCAGGTTTATAGTACGGCCCCTGATTTTCTGAACGCCCCCCCCCCCCCATGTGGCTGTCGGAGATCAGCTCCCCGAACTTTTGGTGCAAAGGGTGCCTATAGGTGTGCTTGCATAAGCAACTCGTGATCAGCGCGACCAATCGATACCTTGCAGTGTCATGTCTGACAGAGGCTTGTGTGAGTGTGGCTGTCGTGACCAGGTTATGATGATGGCTGCTGGTGCCTTCCTGGTCGTGGATCAAGAGTTCAAGGAGCATGCTTTTCCAGTTTCTACATCCAAGTACGAGGTCGCGGACGGCGTCGAAAGCAGAGGAATCTTAAGCACTGTCTTTTTATAGAGAGTGCCGTGAGATTCCGGAAAGGTTTTCCAAGCATACATCAACAAAAGCAAGCACAACAGTTTAGATAGCAGGCCCTACAAGCCATGCCTGCAACAAAAAGTGTCCATGTCTGTATGCATGTTCGTATCTGTCTGTCTGTCTGCCTGTCTGTCTGTGCGTACGTATGCGGGTACCCACAAGATTTACTACGTGGTTGTTTGCGCGTGTGTTCGTACGGGGAGGAAGACAGCCATTCACGATTGAGCCCACTTGCAATTCTACCAACGCATTATATAGTAGTCTTCATACCATGAGTTACCTATGACTTACGAGTACTTGTTAGTACTACTAGTTCTGGTACTACCACATCTCTTTTAGCATGCGTACTCACAGAACTAGTGTTAAAACGACAAATAACGGCCTGAAGGATTACCGGGATGCCGCGGCAGCTGCAAACCGCAGGGCAGGGCGCGACCTGAGCCAAGGCCATGGTTGTTGCGCATGTCTGATCCCTTGGCACGCCTCTGGCGCCTCCTTGAACTGTGAGAATTTCCGGCCAACTTGTCACTCTCCGGCTTGCTTGTCCCAAACCAGCAACCAGTCTCTGGGCGAAACAGGCGGCATGGTCGGGATTGTACATAGCATCATGCAGACAGACGACAGTCATGGTGGGCAGCCCTTGGACCTCATGGTACTCATGCTTTGGAGATCCCCAGAAGGTGCCCGGTCGATCTAGACCAGTTTAAGCTTGTTGTGTATTGGATGCGGTGAAGCTTTTTCTACCTTGCGTAGGCACATTGGAGCAATAGGAAGCAGTTTCCGCACGCTCTTTTTGACGAATTATTGCCATGACTTGTTGTGCGTCTCGTTGCTGGGAATGGCGGCGGCACAAGATACTATCATTGGTTCGACCTTTTGGAACCGTTTGAGGACCACTGCCCGTGGTTCTTCAGTGATGTGGGCTAGGTTCGGCGTCACTGCCCATCGCCTGGATCCTAAACCATCACATCCCGACGATCTTTTTCCCTGAGCCGCAAAGCCCCACAGCCTGAACCGTTAACCCGAAGGTTTCGGTATTCTGCTGCTGGTGGCGACGATCCAGCGTCTGCTGCACAAAGAGCCTCCTGCGCCACCGGGAAAGGCGCAGCTGAAAGCGATTTGGAAGGCCCGGTCGTGTCTTCTTTATCTTTCCCCAAGGTCACTGCAAAGGCTTCCCAAAAAAAGGGTGTTCCCGAAAGGCCTTGAAGGCACTATACTATACGTTCTATTCGGGCACAATAAAGAATGCTAAAGCTCTACGGTTGTATTGCTTAGCCTAGGGCGTCAAGGATCACCCACGATCAGAAGTGCACCATACTACATCGTTCTTTTGCTAGCATGTTTAACCAGTTCATCTAAGGGGCTGAGTAGGTAACCTTTATCCTTTTTGGGGCTTATATCATCCTACTATAATCAAAAGGTTAACCTTTTTTGGGCTAGACCCTAAATCCTAAAGCCTGAACCCTAACCCCAAACCCTACCCTAAACCCTAAACCCTGTTGAGAGCAGGTTCAAGTTGGTGTACAGCTGCTCTTCGCTGGGATGTCTATGTACTTCTCTGGCAAGATCTCCGGGAGAGCGGGTCTCTACTCATGTGTCTGCATCTCAGAGCAATGAAGCCGTCAAATTGCTTCTGCTGCGCATTTTTTGCGGGTATCCTTTGTTTTGTAGGTCTTCCCCGGCTGCTCTTTTCCCGAGGTTGTTCTCTCATTGATCCTGGTGGCCATCAACTTTCTGGATGAGTTCGAGGAGCTGCGGGAGTATCGCAGTAACTGGAAAGTGGTGCAAGCCTCAGCTTTCCTGCGGTTTCCCTTGGTTCGCATGAATAAGAAAAAAATTCTCGGCCGGAGAGTTTCCGAACCAAAATACAGCACAGTATGCCCGCAATCCCTCGTCAAAATATTCTTCAAAGTATAATGGGTTGTTGTTCTATGCTTGGGGCAAAACACGAACACAATCCCCATAGTTCTTCCTAGGGACATCTCTGTAGACCCCCAACAAATAAAACGAGCACCTGGCAGCCCAATCTTTACATAGCCAAGACTCCAGGGGCATCTCGAGACCACTGATGGTGCTATTGTTGCTCCACATCACCACATCTCCTTTTTGTAGGTTTTTGCTGTGCTACTCCTCCTTGCACTACAGCTTCCTCTACAATTCTCTACATCTGATACTGCTGCTGCTGCTGTTTCTGATGCCGCTGTGCTGCTCGCTGCTCGTCAGCCACATCCCCGTGGTACGCAGCAGTAGGACCACCAGGAGCAACAGGGAAATTCTGTACTTAGGCTCTCCCTTCTTGATAGTTGGCTTTATTTTAGTTAAATTAATCAACTATGCTGATTAGAATCATTCTGAATCACGGTGCGATAAGAGGCCGCAGTTTCAAATAAAGCGCTGCCTTGCTGTAGACAAGCCGCGTGCTGATGATCTCAGTGCGAAACCTCGCGCACCTGAGGTCAGGTCGCTGAGTGGCTCATCTGCACGAGTGCCTGTGAGACTCTTTGGCTTTTCTAGCATGTACTCTTTCAGTTGTGTAGGCAAGGAACAAAGAGATATGTTCAAGAGCTCCGTTTACACCTGCGACGTCAGAGTTGTCGCTATTCCTTTGCAAAAACGCACTTGCTGGTAGCATTATCTGAGGCAAGCTTCATTCCACTTCTAGCCTCTTGAAGTCGCTTTCCGGCAATTCCTTGAATGATCATGCCACGGACAGGGCCGCGTAGTGTGAAGAGGCTTGGCCCTTCCTGCTGCTGTCACTGCCGTCACATGGGCGCATCGCACGGATGAAGCTTTCATTCATGCTATCTCTAGCCCAAGACAAGATTTCGGTGCGATTCGCTGATAGTTGACAGGGCGCCGCAGTCGATTTATTCTACTGGTTTTCAAGTTTTCCCAAAGGCCTCAGAAAAGGCCGATGGTGGGCGGGCGCTCACGCGTTGCCCAGGCTACTGTACTACAAATATAGTAGTAGTAGTCGTCGTCGTCTGGTTTCCTGGAAAGTAAAACTGTGGTAAGGGAAGCAGCAGCAGTGAAGTGGTCGTCGTCGTAGTCGCAGTAGTCGTACCAGTCATTGTAGTAGCAGTGACAGCCAAATACTAGTAGTATGGCCTGAAATAATGGGGCAGGTATACCAGCCAACGAAAGAATTGGCAAGTTAAACTTCTAATTTCAAGAATGATTATTTCAATATAAACTGAATATAAATCTTTTTCCTTTCATATATCTCTATATATATATATATATAATCTATATTTAATTTCAATATTTGCTCTAGAATGTCTAATTTGAAATCATATATTTCTTTATTTGCGGCTTTCATTATACATACTATATACATATATAAATAGAAATGATCTTGTATTTTCCATATTTGAATTAGTTGATTTTTTTGCTCGAGAAATAAATATATTTTTTTCTGGAATTTGATATTATCTCTTTATTCGATGAAACATTGTGCGTTCGTATCGTTGTGTTATGAAGGAAATTTGTCGGTTAATAATTCCGAGTATTTTGACAAAATTTGTAAAATTGAATGGAAGATACATTTGATATTTGATTTGATGCTAACACTAAGAGTTTTGATTGTCGATTAATGTGTTGCGGGTAGTGGTTGGAAGTGGGGTAAATCGTGAGAGAGGTATTCGAAGAGAGAATACCGTGGCTTTAATGATGGGGTGTGGGGTTGTGGGAATTTTTATAAAGAGGGGGGCGAATGATTGGAATACTCGGAGGATTGATAGAGAGTAGCTATGAGAATTATTTATATTCTTTTCGGTTTTCTTTTTAATTATATGAAAGATAATATAATATAATATATAGAGAAAATTAATAAAGTAACAAATAAATAATTTTCAAACGATTTTGGAATTTTTATTTTAATTAGCGGATATATGATAGAAAAGATAATTTCTATTTTCGAATTTCTTGATAATGAAATTTCGTTATTATGGCAAGTCTTTTGATTTGGATTCTTAATATTGTGAGATGATAGCAATTATAAAATGATTTTGTGATATAATTTCTTTATATCATTTTGTCTGGATTGAGATTGGTAAAAATTTCTAAGCTCTATTGGATTTATGAAAATTCTTTAATTGGTAGTTTAATTAGAACAGAAATTTAAATCTATTCTAGAAATATAATTTTTTGAAAGCTAATCGAAACCTTAAAATCTTAAACTCTAAAAGAGGAGGAGGAGAAAAATGGTCCACGGGTATTACTGCGGCCGACAACCCCCTTCCCCCCAAGCGTCTCCGAGCAGCTCCGATGCCGTCATCGCCGCTCTCCGCGAGGGGTTCGAGAGGGCGA